CAATTTATTTTTTATAAACTCACCTTTTAATATCAATCTAACGTTAATTTTTGATTAGATAAAAGTCACAATTTCTTGTCCAACCACCTGGGGCACGGGTGGCCCAGTCGTCTAAGGCGCCGCGATTCGCTGTGCAGAGTTGCGTCCCCTGGACACGCCAGAAACCTATGATTGTGGGTTCGAATCCCGGTTCACCCCGATTATGTTTCTAGGTTTGTCAGCACCATACCCGTGCTCGTGGGTTTCACCGAAGTGGTAAACGTCTAAGACCTGCATCACTTCGGGCTTTCCTCCCACATTAAGCTGACACGCCGTGATATGACTGGAATAATGTTAAAAGCGGCGTTAAAACCCAACTCACTCACTCACTGTTTACACTTCCATGACTTGAATCCAACCTGCAACCGTGTCAAGTTTTGCATCCCGCCGTGTTTTCCCACTGAGCCACCGGGGCAGGCGATGACAGCGTCTTCAATCTTACATGTCATAACTTCAGTTGTGTACATGTTGCTCGTTTTCTTTCTCTCTCAAGCTTTCATCGAATTCCTTTTTATAACGGGACACACTGTATTGTTTCAGTATAAGGTATCCCGATGTTTTCTTATTTTTTCTGGTATGTCTTGCTTTTAGACGGTTTATATGTCAGATAATACACTCCTTCTGGGTTATGGTTGAAAATGTAAAAGTTCGAGTGAAAGAGCACCCTGGCCTTCGGTCTCTCTCGCGGTTTTACATTTTCAAACAAAACCTCTGAGCCGTGTTTTATCTTAAACAAACACGATGTATGTTAGCCCTTCTTAGTTGTTGAATGGAATTACGAGTGTATTGCTACGCGAAGTCGTAACCGCCCCTCGAAATATCGAGTGAAGACGAGTAATCCATTCAACAACGAGCTTGTAGCGTGGCCCTGTCAATCAAATGTCAGGTCACATCACCGCCGCGGAAGACGACACTGCTCTTTCTTGAGTTGCACGTAGTCGTCTTGCACGGGCAACAGACTAACATCTAGTCTCTGAAGGGAACCTATCTTACAGAGGTGAGGTGAAATTGGGTTTAACGTCGCGTCCAAGATTATTGCACTTATACAGCGACGTGCATGCACGTGTGTGTGTGTGTGCTTGTGTGTGTGCTTGTACTAGTCCGGACTGATACCGATTTATAGTGCTAGCTCACTGAGATACCATGCCGCAGTTTAACATGAATACCCCACTCAGACACAGTATACTGACTCCGAGCCGACCAGTCCTTGTTTTAGGCCCTTTTTGCCGTGCGCCAGACAGGGTAACAACAAGTACCATCTTTTAACGTCTTTTGGTATGAGGCGGCCGGGGATTGAAATATCTTACAGGAAAAAAGGTGTTAAATTATCTTAATAAAAATATATTAAAAAGGAGCCCAGAGCCTCTAATTCATTTTCAGTTACTACAGTAAGCTAGACTCGCCCACTAATATAGACTTGCATGGGCTTTTTTGGATATATTTGTTTCAGGGTCTGTATGACAGTCCACGTGGGCACAGAGGACGACCGTTAGGGACTCCCCATATAACACATGTCATTTTGTTGGGGGATGATAGGGTGATGTAACATCTCCATCCTCCTCGTTTGTGTTGTAACTCAAATCCTTCAGAATCCGGGGTTAGAATCCGAATTCATTTGTCGGCTATTTCGGCAGTTATGACTCGAAAAATTAAGTAAGGTTAGTGTGCAGTGAGCCTAAAAGATTGATTGTATTTAAATTCTGTATTCATTTGAACTGTAGCAGAATATACTAGTAAACAGCAGTTGTGGTGTTCAAAGTTACAGAAAGATAATACAGTTAGCGTATATGTTGTTTGTTTGTTGTTTAACGAATCAGCAATATCCACCTATATGACGCAGGTGTGAAAATAATAGAGGCTGGACCAGACAATCCAGTGATTGACCTCATGAGCACCGATCTACGTAATCAGGACACGATGACATGCATAAACCAAGTCAGCGAGTCTGATCACCCGACTCCGTTAGTCGCCTCTTCAGAACAATCACAGTCGCCTTTCACGGCAAACATTGTTTGCTGAAGACCTCACATTATTACATTGTTCATCCAAATATGGTTGATAAGTGTCACTGTATACAAATTATATAGACAGGGTATCGCTCTTTTTCATTACAGTAAAATAGATTTAATTACAACACTTTTTAATTTTTTAAAAATATTTGCCAGTTTACACAGTTTGTTCCTTCCCCTTATACATTGTTAAGATTTCCCTTTTGGCTTATCTTTACAGCTTCCCTCACATCACCTGATTCAAACCTCATCCATATATAAACCTGCTTGAACATACTACAATGGGAAAATCGCGCAAAACGTTAAACGTGCATCGCGGGTGTCGAACTGGTTCAGTGATAACGCAACCACTTTTGGCCTATATAGTGTTGAAAACGAGCCCAAATACCAAGGTCTTCGTGGCTCAGTGGACTATTTCTTTCTGGTTTCATACAGGTTCGATCGGGTCTGTCAGCAGTGACTTGGCTGCAAAAGTTTCTATGTGAGTTTGGTTTTACGCCGCTTTTAGCAATATTCCAGCAATATCACGGCGGGGGACACCAGAAATGGGCGTCACACATTGTACCCATGTCGAACCCGGGACTTCGGCGTGACGAGCGAACGCGTTAACCACTAGGCTACCCGACCGGCCCCTGTTTCTATGTGACGTTCGGCCACCTGACGGTTTGTCACTCAGAGATGTGCCCCTTGGCACAGTATCAGTAGCTCCACCCCTTGTGGTGTAACGGGGGTTATTGTACGTGTAACATCAAAGGAAAAACGCCGCAACCATGCTACAACATAGAGGCAGTGGGAATAAGTTGTATAACAGCCCCTTTCAGTTCAAGTGAGTCAGTATATTGACTTGAAAATGGCTGCCACCTCCTACGAATGTCCTTTTTCGTTTAATTTCAGCTAAGATAACATTGTAATTTAAATTGGGGGAAATGAGATAACGTTCTAGTAAACACGCGTTAAACCTAACGAGAAACTTTTCCATTAAATGATAATAGTGCATATTTATTTTAATTTCAACAAACACCTTTGTCCTCGAATAAGGCCTTTATTGTTGTATTATATCATGCAATATTCCGGGAATTTATACACTGCTTATTCATAAACAATTTAGAGCCTTTGGCACGGTCAATCGAGCTCAAACAAACAAACAAACAAACAAACAAAACAAACCACCCCCACAAAAAAAGAAAACAAACAAAGAGAATCCGCCAAACCACACACCAAGTTTAAATGTTGCAAATTCCTTCGTCAACGACACCTAGTAAAAATGTTGCATATAGCTTCTTCCGCAACACCCAGTTTAAATATTGGAAATACCTTATTCCAAGACACCTTGGTTAATGTCGCAAATAGATTTTTCCAAGGCAACTATTCTATATATAGCAAAGACCTCCTTTCAAGAACCCTACTTTAAACGTTGCAAATGCCTTCTTTCAAAACACCTAGTTTAAATGTTGCAAATTCCTTCTTCCATGACGCCTAGGTTTACAAACGTGGCAAATACCTAATGCCGAGATAACTCATTGTGTGTTGCAAAGAGATTCTTCCAGGACTTTCTACAAGATACACAGTATATATGTTGCAAATATCTTTCCACAAGATCCACAGTATATATGTTGCAAATATCTTTCTACAAGATACACAGTATACATGTTGCAAATATCTTTCTACAAGATAAACAGTATATATGTTGCAAATACCTTTCTACAAGATACACAGTTCCTATGCTGCAAATACCTTTCTACAAGATACACAGTATATATGCTGCAAATACCTTTCTACAAGGTACACAGTATATATGTTGCAAATACCTTTCTACAAGATACACAGAATATATGTTACAAATACCAGCAACCAGTGAGTGAGTGAGTGAGTTGGGTTTTACGCCGCTTTTAACAGTATTCCAGTTATATCATGACGTGTCAGCTTAATGTGGGAGGAAAGCCCGAAGTGACGCAGGTCTCAGACGTTTACCACTTCGGTGAAACCCACGAGCACGGGTATGGTGCTGACAAACCTAGAAACATAATCGGGGCGAACCGGGATCCGAACCCACAATCATAGGTTTCTGGCGTGCCCAAGGGACGCAACTCTGCACAGCGAATCGCGGCGCCTTAGACGACTGGGCCACCCATGCCCCCAGCAACAGGTGAAGTATGAGGACGTTCCGAAAGTATTGGTAAAAATAATCATAGAAATCTTGAAAAAAATCACACAAAACTGTGAAATATAGCAATGTATTATGATAAAACCGTTGATCGTCATTTCCATGTAATCATCTTGTCAAGTGGACTATGGCGCACTGGATATTATGAAGTGTGTTTTTATCGTATAATTCAATACATTGGCCGGAAGTTATCAGGGTCCCTCATTATGTCTGTAATTCTGTATTTTAAACAAAAGCTTACGGCAAATACCTTGTTTGTGTAGTGTCCTTCGCGAGGAATTAGTTTAAATTAATATCTTAGCCTTTAATCTATTCAGCAATCCAACCCTTTGAGTCTGCCACGTGTGTGAGATTGTTAACGTCGTTTAGATGGGTGGACGCCAACAGATGGCTTATTGAAGGAAATTGAGCAACTAATGCCAAAATGTAATTGTGTAATCTCGTCTACCTACCTCGCAAATTAACCTAACACTTTCTATAATGGTCTACCTGTTCAACTGGTCTTGACCCGAACATGGCAGATTTTCGACGTTGGGGGTAAGTGGAGACAACTCTGCCGATAGGAGGTTGCCGCCGTCCAATTATAGTGTGTAGTTTAGCCGTGTCTTGTACAAGTAACATCATTGCCTAAACACGCGTACATGTGTCTGATAGCGTGTGTGATTGGAGTCCTGCTGAGACGTATTACATGTTCGGAAACTGATAGGAGTAGCATTGTGTACTGACACCATGGGAAGTCCATTTCATGATTTACCAAGGGACCGCCTCCGCGGTGTGGGTAGCCACCCGATCCAGGAAATATTACCTACTACTAGCACAGAGTTGTTAGCAACTATGACCTGCTACTAGTAGGTACAAAGACGGTCTCTACGTCTCTGGAGACTAACATTTACTGCTACTACTAGGTAACGGCAAAGGAGCATGTCTAAAATGATTTTCATTGGTCAACGAGTCTACGTCGACGGTATGCAAGCCAGGCTCTGTCTCAACAGAAAAATAAATAGATTACCGCAGAGCAACTTCAGCCTGTAACCAGCTAGCTTTCTAGATGTAGAAGTAGCTTCGTAATGGTGAAATGCGCCATGCAAACCTTTCAACCACCATTCCAGTATTTTCCCAGTCACCTGGAATTACAAATAGAATCTACATTATCATGAAGAAAATTATACGGTAACCATTGATAATAATACATCACCAGCTGGTCACATGACCTCGTCATGCATCATCATCCGCCGCCATTTTGTGTAAGGTCACGTCATTTGTTCCACTCAACTTAGGCCTAGTTTAAGCTAGTTAATTGTGTCTTTTCTCTAAATAGAGCACAACAAACGTGGGTGTTTTCATACCAATAAATACTCTTCAATATTCCTACCATTGCCACAAATGGGAACGTAATGTCGTGCGTGTTTTCTACAGGTAGCCTTGCATTCTTTGCGTCCCTAGAAACCGTCGACGTGCACAAGCAAGGTCACGCATCATAAATGCCGTTTATTCCAAAAGAAAGAGTGCTTTACCGAAACAGTATGTCCTACAGTCCTACCTATCGTATATTGTATTGGAGTTGTTGCCTGGTATCAAGCGCCCATGTTTTGACGCGAATCACTTGCATCCAAAGACGATTGGGTCACGTTCCTTTTCAGAATCGCTCGTTTCTTTTAGTCCAACTGGTAGTAATTACTAGTAATTATTACTTACATATATATACTATTATATGTCGTATTTTGTTTACATTTCAGCAGTATGCATCGGAGGCAGAAAATTTATTCAAGCTCAGAAGTCCCAAACAACTGAAAATGCTCCAAAACACCATCACGTGACCCTGGTATTCTCAAAGTGCTGGTGAAAGTGTTTGTTTTTTAGGCCTAAATATTTGTTGATAGTAGAGAGGCGGATTGATAGACTTTATAACAAGTCATGATCAACATTCCCCAACTGTTAGTTAATTACACTAGTCAGTCTACATCTGTATTGTTTCTTTGCAACCTCTGTCAACAAACTCAAATTTATCCATTTATACCTTAATAATTGTGTTGTTTTAAGATTATGACTAGGCCTACAGCATCTAACTAACTGTAATCCTCTGATAACTAAATGTCTGAAGGCAAAATACCATTTTATTGATGAATATATATCCATTTAACTCATACAGATTAGTGTAGGGTGTAATGTTGGAATGTTTTTGTTGACAGTAGCAGACACTACATCTGCCTATGAGCAATGGACAAAACTGAGAATACCTTATCATGAACCGTAGTGAACACTGCTGGCAACATCCTGTTTTAGTAAGTATAATTGAATCCCCAATTATAATGTCATTGTACATACAAAAAATGACATAGTGTTGTTTTTAAATAGTGATCTGTTTGGCAGTGTTTTATATATTGTATATTTTTCTTTTCACTTTGTCTACTGGCCTGCATTTGTCCTTGTCATTTTCCTGTTATTTCTGATACATTCCAAAATAAGATTTGTCTGTACAGTACCAGCACACTTTAATAAGGACTAAGAGCAAATGTGCCTAGTTCTCAGTGTTCTAGACAATTTGTGTTGTACCCAAATAGAGGGAATATTGTTACTGTAGTTCTTGTCATTGTCTTGGCAGCAAGTGCCACATGATCTTGGCACTACTTCAGCATGTTTAGTTATACACATTTACCAGTGAAGATCAGGGTCAGAAAAGGTCTTCAGCAAACCATGCTTGCTTTAAGAGGCGACTATCCTTGTCATAACGTGGTTGAGGGGTCAGGCTCAGAGACCATGTTGATGCATGTCATCGTATCCCATTTGCATGGATTGATGCTCATGATGTCAATTACTGGATTGTCAGGTCCAGATTTGATTATTTACAGGCAGCTGTCAAAGCACGAATATTGCTTAGTACAGCATTAAACAACAAACAAACAAAGTTATACAGTTCAATTTTTTAAATACTCTTATACTCTAGTATTATAATGTGCTATTTTTATTGATTATTATGAATACAGACTGTTTGTATCAGTTTGTAAGAGACACAAACCAAGGTTCCCACAACTATCTGCACATGCTTTGTCGTAACACAATTAATATGGTATCTTCAGGTTATGTATGTTTGTAAAATGTGCTAGAAAGTGTCCACTTTAGTTGTAAAATCAGTATCTTCCTCACAACAGAGCTAATGTGCACTACCTTGTTGTGGTATTTTTTGTTGAACTCGTCTCTGTCTTTCTCAAGTTATGTTTGTGCAAGGTGCCTACCTGGTGTATTGATAATATTACCTGACAAGAGTCAAGTTTGCTCATCATATTCTGAAATAAGTGTCTCCAATCTAATAGAAATGGGAAAAGTAATACGAGCGAGTCACCATCATTTTAACCGGTGCTAGGGATGTCAGCATAAAGTATATGTTTTTTTATTAATATTATAAATATTAAAACTCTTTGCACCTGGATTGGAAGAATTGAACATTATAAGAAAACTGCTATGTTCCTTTTCAGCTGACAGGCTGTTTGTGGAAGATGTAAGGTCAAGTGCTAGGGCCCCCTGTTTAGTTTAGACCTACATTGTAAATGTTGTGCACTGGACCATGGAGCCTGGTCACTACAGGGTTTACCCAAGCCTCTTAAAACTGGGGACAAATTCAATTTCTAATCTTAAAAATATCATCTTGATTCTCTAATCATACTGTTAAAATTATGTTTTACGTACTTATCTAATCTCTGTGGAATTCCTAATCCAATTAAATTGTAATGTCCAATATTTTTTAATATATTTGCAGATAACAAATTGCTGTAGACTAATAAGGCAACTGCTATATTATATTCTGACTCTTTACTGGACTCACCAGACTCTGCACTGTATACTACTGAACACAATGAAGTATCAACGTCTTTTCATTTCGGAATTCAAGTAGCAAGCGGTAGCCTGTTGTCTGGTACTTTAAAGTATACTATAATGCATGTACTAATTCTTTATACTGTAAACACATAACATGTTTTGCTTGAGCAATTCTTCCTGAAAATTTGAAACGCAAGTCTAGTAATATTGTGCTCGATGTAGTAAGTCCAATTAATAATAGTCAAAATGACAACACTAAAATCCTGTTCGGGCTAGTTGACCCATCATTTTGGGGCACAGACTGCTCACGTAATTCAATATAAGGTGACAAAGTTGCACAAGGTTCTGTTGTGTGTATTTCAATAACTTGCACATTTATGAACTTTAACTTTAATGTAATCCTTGAATCCATTGATGCTTTATTTTTACATTTCTTTAATAACCTACAATTGTTATGAAGCTGTCATTTTTTGTGTGGTTCCAGGAATAAAGTCACCAGAAATGTATTCAAAAATTTTATCTGAGTTTGAGCATGACGAACATGGCAGATATGTTTAAAATGTTGTTTTCTTCCACTACTCAGACATGTAAGTTATTGTACAATAAGTCATGTATAGTGTAAAAACATGTTGATTCTTTTGTTTGCATATTTAGCTATTCCAGAACTGTTAGATGATATTAAATTGCTGTAGAAGGTATTTATTTCCATATATAATGTCATTATGGTATACCAGTGTGTATGACAATTGTTTTGAAATTCATCAATATCTTCAAATATGATCTATTGTATCCAGTGAATGACATGTAAGAAAGAAGGAAGTTAGGCAGCACCCAATCAGAGAGCGTACCATTAGACACATGTGATCAAAGGGGTTCCAATTCAACACATTGCCCTTACGTATGATGGTCACTGTCAAACGTTTTTCATGGATCTCTGTGTTTGAAAACCAACTCATCCTGATAATAGGTTTCTGATTATATTGCCTATTCACTTACACAAGATACACAATTTTGAGTAATAAACAGCTGAATGTAGAAATCTGTTAATGTTGACAGGAAGAGAACAATCATTACCTTAGGGTTATGTTTAATATCATTAACATGATTAAGGCTTTAATGACTTATTGATAAATAAGAAATATATGCAGCAAATTCTGTCATTGTCATTGTAGTATTTGTCTATACTATTACTTAAACACTACATTAATAGCCATAATCACATTCAATTACAGGGATCGTTTTCTTTACATACAAGCCCCACCAGTGCAGGTAAAAACATTGCTGGGTCCACTTGCACAGAACAATCTTAGCACTTCAATTATTGTAAATCCTTAAGATCACGATCTTAGGCTTCGGCTACAATCGCTGTCCAATTGATCAAAGGGATTGTAGGCTATGATCATTGTAAGCTACAAGCGAAACTTACAATTGGTCCAAACCAATCTTAAGTAGCTAAGATCGTTGTGGTCCCTGAATAAACTTGACAAAATGGCGTGCAGGACCTCATCTAATTCACATAAATATTCTGCCTTATGTTCAAATATTGCCTCGTTATTTTGTTAACTTTATGATTCAAATCAACACTTTAATTTAAGATTTAACGTCAGAAATATCGTTAATTGCAATAGTGAACCACTTAACTATCGAATCGATAGCTAAAAGTAAAAGTACTATACCCACCGGACTCAATGCTGAAAGAAGTGGGAAACAACATACCTTTTCACTAATCAAGGGAAGGATAAAAAGTTGTATGCAAGCGATTAGTAACGTCCGTGACCTTTTCGATAACTCAAGGGCAGCTAATCATAGTTTATACTCTAGATGAGAGTGGTTTCCCTTTGTGTAAGCATGTAGCGTAGAATCTACCTTGCCCAGTGTATTAATGTTGTAGAATCGCTGAGCTCCCCATGTTATTCTTTTCGGTCCCATTCGTGTCAGTTATTTTGTCTTTAGTTCATCATTAAATTAATTTACAAATAAATATTAGATGAAGTCAAACATGTCTAAATCTAAAATCGAGTTGGCAGGGGACGAGGGATTTTAAAATCTGAGTTAAAAAGAAAAGAAACAAGCAAATACACATGATGAGACATTTGAAATTTGTGTAAAATATCCCATAAATAGCAAAAGTAAAATTTACACCTTTTAAAAATAATTATCAATGTAATTAATACCAAGTGAATATATACATGTATTAAACAACTGCTTTCTCGAAACATTATTCATTATTATTATTTCCCATGCATTCTTGAAATCCTGCGTCTTCCTGTGTTTTGAAAAAGTACTCATAACATCCTTTGTCACAGCAACGAAATGAAAGCATGAAGGATATATTTAGTATTTTACGAAAAGCTCCCCCATGTGATGTTATAAGGAAATATTTTTAGTATTATTGTCCCCCGCCGCGCGGAGCGGTGGATATAGTATTCACGACCATCCGTACGTCTGTACGTCCGTACGTCCCACTTGTTTGTTGCCGCGATATCTCAAGAACTAAACACTGGATTGTCTTCATATTTGGAACTATGGTGTATATACAGACTCCGCAGACACCAGTCGGTTTTGGTGACCTTGACCCCATTTTCAAGGTCACAGCAGGCAAATCTGCTTTTAGAGTTGGAAAACGGTGTTGCCGCTATATCTCAAGAACTAAACACTGGATTGTCTTCATATTTGGAACTATGGTGTATATACAAACTCCGCAGACACCAGTCGGTTTTGGTGACCTTGACCCCATTTTCAAGGTCACAGCAGGCAAATCTGCTTTTGGAGTTGGAAAACGGTGTTGCCTCAATATCTCAAGAACTAATCGCTGGATAGTTTTCATATTTGGTACTATGGTGTATATACAGGCGGGGGACATTTCGTCACTTTGTGACAAATACTTGTTTATTTTAATTTTCATAATGATTGTGTCACTAAATAATATATTTATTCGTATTTCAATACTTTTGATAAAAAAACATGAGTAGGTATTTCTCAAGTTGCAACAGATAACTGTTGAATTCCTAAATCATGACACTATTAATGCCGACAAAAATATATGCCATCATTCTAGTAATCGTTTCCTTCAAATAATTGGCACCTCTCTTGAAACTGTGCAAGGTGCCATGGAGGGAGGTACATGTTGTGACGTGAACAGTTCCACTTATTGTATACGCAGCAAGCTATGCGCGTTTGCAGACAACTGTAGACAGGAGTCGAGTTTAAGATATTCGTACCTCCACCGTTGAAGATTTCAATCTTAGATGAGCCGTCTTACAATCACACTAAGATGGGTTTGTGCAAGTGGAATAGGACAATTGTATGGTGATTGTAAAATTGATTGTAGCCGCCTAAGATCGATTGTAGCTAAGATTGTTCTGTGCAAGTAGGCCTAGGTGTCGGTAACTTTTAGGTGAGGTTAGGTTGCACCCAGTGCAGGTAACATTTCCAACCATAAGTGGAAAACTGAATTCTTTTAGAACTGGCTGCAAGTCTTTTCGAATCCAGGAAACAAAAGTTCATGAAAATAGTGAAATACACAGGTGGTCTGAATGCATTGAACTTGCAGGACTCTTCACAATTACCACTAGAACAGTCACTCATGAGGTTACAATCACAACAGACACTTTGAGACTTCTGTTTAAGGTTGTTTACTCGATATCATGATATGAAAAGGCATGTACAGATTCACCTCAAAATAAATTCTGGAGCACATTCTCAAGGGTTTTTTTTCTTTGAATTTATTTAAAATTCAAAATAACAGAAAATTTTGGTGGTGCAACCTGCTTAGTTCACTTTGTTGCACCTGGTGCAGGTGGTAAGACAGAATGAAATCGTACCCTGAATTATAGACCAAGGCCCCAATGACGGTATGACTATGGACTAGCATTGATTATCATCGTCATATTTTTTATTTCAGTTGGCACACAACAGCATCCCTCCTGATCAAGTGAAAAGGAATCCTATGACACCGCTTGATCTTTGTCTGACATGGAAATCTGAAAATCAAATAAGGTGGAAGAATAACATCTGGTTAAAAAATTTATGTGGAAAAGTAAGTTTTTCAACATTTTGGGTAAGATTAAACTTCCAAATTTCATCAGGGGTTTGAAAATTAAAGGATGATAAATTCCTCATGGCTTGTTATGTGTTATTTATCCACTGTTTCCTTTGTTTGGACTTTTATTTTTATAAAATATACATTAAATGTAAAACTAGGCAAAAAGTCAGCAAAATCAGTCAAAATCAAGAAGGTCCGAAATCGCAAACATAACTGCATTGAGGTGGGTGTCTGAGTTGAAGCAAATATTGATCTGAACAATAATCTGTCAGCAGGTCAGAAATCACCCACGTAACTGCTGTTATCTGAACACAGTTCAGGTTTGAGATTCACCATGAACTTTTCAGGTATTGAGGGGCTGTGGGGTCCAAAAGTCATCTGAAAATGATTGAACACATGAATAATGGACATGAAATTTAAATTACAACATAAAATAGAATCGGCATGTGTGTAAAGACATGTTATGTTCAATAGTCACTTTCAAATTTATCTTCCTTTAAGGTGGTAGAAAATAACATGGCTGCGGATATAACGACACAAAACATAGACCAAGGTTGATATATTTTAAACAAATTCAGTCTGTAGATGTGTTATGTGTTCAGGTACCAAGTGTTGAAGTCAGCTAATGTTAGCTTGCATCAACCTTCAGTTGTTTAAAACTTTTACTTTAATGACAATCCAAGAAATCCAAGAATCACAAAAATCAGTCCATCGTGGTGATTCTGTGTTAGAATACGTCCACTGCAACCTATCCTTGTTATAAGGGACGAGTTAAGTGATTGGGTGGTCAGGTTCGGTGACTTGGTTAGTTGCTTGTTATTGTAACAAGATGACAGTGATAATATCTAGATTCTAAATATGGCCACCATGTCAACCATATTGAATTTGTCGTCGATGCTAAATTATATTACATTGTACTTTGGGGCATAGTATTATTTTTTTAACTGCTGTTACTTTAAGTGCACATACTTCACATGTGCCCCCTTATCTACATTTACTGCATTTTCGTTTAGTCCTTTTGGTTTTATGCATATACCGGTAAATTGGAGTGATGAATGGAAAATATCAACACTGTAAATGGTGACACAGGAGTGTATTAAATATTATGAATTGATCTAAGTGTTAAAATGAAAATGATATTGAGAAAACAGCCACATAATAAAATATATAAGTACCCTTTATCAGAGCGGCAAATCAGTTCAAGAAATGTGAATTTTATTGGGATTCCAAACTGTATATTTGTTCAAGATAAGGATTTGAAATATCTGATGTTGGTTCTTTTTGCAATGTTGCAACATAAACATAAATACAGTCATCCCTTGCTAAAACACCCTTCATTAAATACCATAGATTGGGTTCAACTTCAGGTAAAATACATGGGTCCCATACATTTAAATACTTCCCCCACAAATGCATTTTTAGGTCATCGGAAATAGCATATCAACAAATCTGCTCTGAAATTATGCAAGTTAGTCCTGTTGTAAGGATGTACAGATGTTCTTGAGAAGTGTTCATTGTATACATCTAGACTTAGGACATATGTTTGCAATCTATTTGATTAAGTTTAGTCATATTTTTAATTTGAAACACTATGTGCTTCTTAAAACACTTGCCTTCAACTATTTGTTCTTATGTTTTTGATCATGCAACCTTCTATGTACTTATTGGGTTGGAATTATCAAAAGGGTAGCAGTTTTGGGGCACCATTGCTGAGAAATATGCCAGAAAATAAATCTTGAAAGTGTGCTTTCACTAATTGTTGTTAATAAAGTGTATAAATGGGCTGAGAAATGTGTGCATTTGAAATATTTGAAATATTTTATTTGAGTTTTGAGATAAAATGCAAATTTTACAGTATTTTAACAGAGCTCCAGATAAGATTTTTGATTCAGTTTTTTGTGGTTTCAGATATCTGCTTTAAAGTGATGTCATGAACTGGACGCTGCACTCTTGATTCCAACACTAATATTGTCATGACCAAATGTTAAAGTTCATATTCAGCAAGTTGAAGATAACTGACACCATCTTTAAGTATAAGTTGCACAAATATGGTATTCAGAAGTTTTTTGTTTTCACTACTGATGTATATATAGTATAAAAAAATGGATTTCTGTAATAGAATAAAGTATTGGAATACATGTGATACTAGTTGTGTTTCCGTCACCACAATCTCATTAAAATCAGACCTTAGTTCTCGCTACCACTAAACAAAGACCTGAAGACATCCCATTAGGAGTCACGTCAGAACGACCTTTCATTCGACCGATCAGAGCATCGCTTACCAGATCATGAAAGTGACAGTCAGAATGTGATTTCTAATCATACAACCTCGAAAACTTTTAACACGGGGTATTCCGAAAGATAGTTACAGGTTTAACGACTGAATCCATACAATCTAGACCATCTATTAGCCACTCCAGAATGTTCTTTTGTTTAGTTTTCAAATTTGTAATCGAGAATTTGTCCAAATATGTTTCGAAGCATAGTCGCCAATTTGAAATTAGTGCCGTAAAGCACGAGAAAGCTGCCTTATGATTGGTCATTCTATTGGTCGGTAAAAGTTCGCACAAGGTCGGTCTGACGTGACCCGTACTGGGATGTCCTCAGATCTTTGTTTAGCGGTAGCAAGACCTAAGGTCTGATTTTAAAGAGATTGACGTCACCATAGTGTGGATGTTTTATGCTGTTTGAGAGAAAAGTTGGCCTAATGGTCTTAAATGCTTCAACACTGCAGAGTTGTGTCGATTGGTTATGTGAGGATCCATTCTGATCACTGGTTTGGAGAATAGTGACCTTAAGCTAAACAGATGGACATGTGTCAGTGTGATTTGAAAGTGAGACACAAATTTATGCAACTACATGAGGTATTGTGGTGCTGAAACGAAGGTTCATATTCTGGATTTGAACCCATGACCAGTACATCAAGTTCCATCAACCATGACAATTGGGACACCTGTACACCCAAGTTTCTCTCACTCTACTTCAGCAAAATTGCAGTACCATAAAGGCAGAAATTAATAAGTAGGGTCTGTGTGACTAATAAAGCAGTTTCTTGTCACTTTTCGGCCCACTTTTATATCATAATTAGACATATATTGGGTAGGAACACTAACCCTAGAACCTTACGATTCTTGTTCTTTTGAGATTCCGTAACAGAGTGTCTGATTCAAGAATAACCCAGTTTTACATCATTGTCGGACATACATTGGGAAGAAACCCAAGCACCTCACGATTCACGTTTCTGTTGAGATACGATAACATCAGCGTCTGTATCAGAAATAACCCAGTTTTACATCACAATTAGACATATATTGGGTAGAAACCCTAACTCTAGCACCTCATGATTCACGTTTCTGTTGAGATACGATAACATCAGCGTCTGTATCAGAAATAACCCAGTTTTACATCACAATTAGACATATATTGAGTAGAAACCCTAACCCTAGCACCTCACGAGTCACGTTTCTGTTGAGATACGATAACATCAGCGTCTGTATCAGAAATAACCCAGTTTTACATCACAATTAGACATATATTGGGTAGAAACCCTAACCCTAGCACCTCACGATTCACGTTTCTGTTGAGATACGATAACATCAGCGTCTGTATCAGAAATAACCCAGGTTTACATCACAATTAGACATATATTGGGTAGAAACCCTAACCCTAGCACCTCACGATTCACGTTTCTGTTGAGATACGATAACATCAGCGTCTGTATCAGAAATAACCCAGTTTTACATCACAATTAGACATATATTGGGTAGAAACCCTAACCCTAGCACCTTATCATTCATGTTTCTGTTGAGATACGAGAACATCAGCGTCTGTATCAGGAATAACCCAGTTTTACATCACAATTAGACATATAGTAGGTAGAAACCCTAACCCTAGCACCTCACGATTCACGTTTCTGTTGAGATACGAGAACATCAGCGTCTGTATCAGGAATAATCCAGTTTTACATCACTGTCGGACATATATTGAGTAGAAACCCTAACCCTAGCACCTTATCATTCATGTTTCTGTTGAGATACAAGAACATCAGCGTCTGTATCAGGAATAATCCAGTTTTACATCACTGTCGGACATATATTGAGTAGAAACCCTAACCCTAGCACCTTATCATTCATGTTTCTGTTGAGATACGAGAACATCAGCGTCTGTATCAGGAATAATCCAGTTTTACATCACTGTCGGACATATATTGAGTAGAAACCCTAACCCTAGCACCTTATCATTCATGTTTCTGTTGAGATACGAGAACATCAGCGTCTGTATCAGGAATAATCCAGTTTTACATCACTGTCGGACATATATTGAGTAGAAACCCTAACCCTAGCACCTTATCATTCATGTTTCTGTTGAGATACGAGGACATCAGCGTCTGTATCAGGAATAATCCAGTTTTACATCACAATTAGACATATATTGAGTAGAAACCCTAACCCTAGCACCTTATCATTCATGTTTCTGTTGAGATACGAGAACATCAGCGTCTGTATCAGGAATAATCCAGTTTTACATCACTGTCGGACATATATTGAGTAGAAACCCTAACCCTAGCACCTTATCATTCATGTTTCTGTTGAGATACGAGAACATCAGCGTCTGTATCAGGAATAATCCAGTTTTACATCACTGTCGGACATATATTGAGTAGAAACCCTAACCCTAGCACCTTATCATTCATGTTTCTGTTGAGATACGAGAACATCAGCGTCTGTATCAGGAATAATCCAGTTTTACATCACTGTCGACATATATTGAGTAGAAACCCTAACCCTAGCACCTTATCATTCATGTTTCTGTTGAGATACGAGAACATCAGCGTCTGTATCAGGAATAATCCAGTTTTACATCACTGTCGGACATATATTGAGTAGAAACCCTAACCCTAGCACCTTATCATTCATGTTTCTGTTGAGATACGAGAACATCAGCGTCTGTATCAGGAATAATCCAGTTTTACATCACTGTCGGACATATATTGAGTAGAAACCCTAACCCTAGCACCTTATCATTCATGTTTCTGTTGAGATACGAGAACATCAGCGTCTGTATCAGGAATAATCCAGTTTTACATCACTGTCGGACATATATTGAGTAGAAACCCTAACCCTAGCACCTTATCATTCATGTTTCTGTTGAGATACGAGAACATCAGCGTCTGTATCAGGAATAATCCAGTTTTACATCACTGTCGGACATATATTGAGTAGAAACCCTAACCCTAGCACCTTATCATTCATGTTTCTGTTGAGATTCGAGAACATCAGCGTCTGTATCAGGAATAATCCAGTTTTACATCACAATTAGACATATATTGAGTAGAAACCCTAACCCTAGCACCTTATCATTCATGTTTCTGTTGAGATACGAGAACATCAGCGTCTGTATCAGGAATAATCCAGTTTTACATCACTGTCGGACATATATTGAGTAGAAACCCTAACCCTAGCACCTTATCATTCATGTTTCTGTTGAGATACGAAAACATCAGCGTCTGTATCAGGAATAATCCAGTTTTACATCACAATTAGACATATATTGAGTAGAAACCCTAACCCTAGCACCTTATCATTCATGTTTCTGTTGAGATACGAGAACATCAGCGTCTGTATCAGGAATAATCCAGTTTTACATCACTGTCGGACATATATTGAGTAGAAACCCTAACCCTAGCACCTTATCATTCATGTTTCTGTTGAGATACGAGAACATCAGCGTCTGTATCAGGAATAATCCAGTTTTACATCACTGTCGGACATATATTGAGTAGAAACCCTAACCCTAGCACCTTATCATTCATGTTTCTGTTGAGATACGAGAACATCAGCGTCTGTATCAGGAATAATCCAGTTTTACATCACTGTCGGACATATATTGAGTAGAAACCCTAACCCTAGCACCTTATCATTCATGTTTCTGTTAAGATACAAGAACATCAGCGTCTGATTCAAGAATAATCCAGTTTTACATCACTGTTGGACACATATTGGGTGGAAACTCTAACCCTAGCACCTTATCATTCATGTTTCTGTTGAGATACGAGGACATCAGCGTCTGTATCAGGAATAATCCAGTTTTACATCACAATTAGACATATATTGAGTAGAAACCCTAACCCTAGCACCTTATCATTCATGTTTCTGTTGAGATTCGAGAACATCAGCGTCTGTATCAGGAATAATCCAGTTTTACATCACTGTCGGACATATATTGAGTAGAAACCCTAACCCTAGCACCTTATCATTCATGTTTCTGTTGAGATACGAGAACATCAGCGTCTGTATCAGGAATAATCCAGTTTTACATCACAATTAGACATATATTGAGTAGAAACCCTAACCCTAGCACCTTATCATTCATGTTTCTGTTGAGATTCGAGAACATCAGCGTCTGTATCAGGAATAATCCAGTTTTACATCACAATTAGACATATATTGAGTAGAAACCCTAACCCTAGCACCTTATCATTCATGTTTCTGTTGAGATACGAGAACATCAGCGTCTGTATCAGGAATAATCCAGTTTTACATCACTGTCGGACATATATTGAGTAGAAACCCTAACCCTAGCACCTTATCATTCATGTTTCTGTTGAGATACGAAAACATCAGCGTCTGTATCAGGAATAATCCAGTTTTACATCACAATTAGACATATATTGAGTAGAAACCCTAACCCTAGCACCTTATCATTCATGTTTCTGTTGAGATACGAGAACATCAGCGTCTGTATCAGGAATAATCCAGTTTTACATCACTGTCGGACATATATTGAGTAGAAACCCTAACCCTAGCACCTTATCATTCATGTTTCTGTTGAGATACGAGAACATCAGCGTCTGTATCAGGAATAATCCAGTTTTACATCACTGTCGGACATATATTGAGTAGAAACCCTAACCCTAGCACCTTATCATTCATGTTTCTGTTGAGATACGAGAACATCAGCGTCTGTATCAGGAATAATCCAGTTTTACATCACTGTCGGACATATATTGAGTAGAAACCCTAACCCTAGCACCTTATCATTCATGTTTCTGTTAAGATACAAGAACATCAGCGTCTGATTCAAGAATAATCCAGTTTTACATCACTGTTGGACACATATTGGGTGGAAACTCTAACCC